TATCTGGTTATTAATAATTATCAGACTTTTGTTGCTTGGAATACTTTGCCCTTTATTCAAATGATATTACAAACTGTGCTGTGAGATACACTTAGCATGAGGCTTACAGGAGTTACAGCTTTAAATATATGCTATTCTTACTTTGGGTTTGGTTATCCCTTTTATGTGGTGTTTATGTGTCTTGGGTAACTGAAGACCCACAGAGAGATATGTCTGTGTGAGCATTGCTGGTGTGGATAATGTGCAAGTGCTTTATAGTAGCACTGGTATTTCTTTTTGCCAACAGTTGCTTGTACAGATGTTAGTAAAGGTGAGTTAGAGTCAAATGGGCTGAGACCCTTACTGAAAGAAGTTTAAAAGTCTCAAATTGTTGAAATCCTGTACCTGTTTTATTGTGCTTCCTAGCTTTAAACTAAGCAAATTTAGTGCAAATTGTGATTATTTGCCTCATTGTCCCAAGTGTGGCCTTTGACGACAGTTGAGCATTTACTATTTAGAGGAATGTTCTGTGTATTTTGATACTTCTGCAGTGTCCCTCCCCATCCACTGTTCCCCTCCTCCCACCTCAATTTAGTCCAATGTATAATAACAGTGAACTAGTTCACACTGTCCTCAGCGATGAAGAATGCCCTCTGGCCCCGGGTCTGCAGGCCCTGGCATCACACTGAAGTGTAGTTTACACAGAAGAAATGCTGTCAAGTTCACACAGTTTTGTCAGGTTCCGCAGGCTCCCATTCTCCTGGGAGTACTGCAGCCCCTTGAGGGTCATGGTTAATTGCACTAGCCCAGTGCTCCAGGTTTAGGCTGGAGCAGACAGTTCCAGTGCTATATTCTCTTTCCTGTGTCCCAGAGTAGGAGACTGGGTAAAGTTTTGGTGCAGAAGCAAGTGCATTTTCACACCAGATATATACCTGAATAAAATATTTTTAAAAATCTAGAGCAAAATGACTTTGGCTAAGCATTTCTAATTAAGGAACGTGTTCTGCAAAAAGGATCCTACTTATTGCAGAAGGGTGAATCAAAGGTTGTTTTGGTGCTTGTATCAGTAGTTTGGAGGAGAGGGGAGTTTTTAAACTCTGTAGAAGCTTGTTCCATGAAGACAGATTTCACCCTTCTAGATTCTTCCCATTTCATTCAGGATAAGGGCAGTTCTGGTCTTTGGACCAGCTGGGAAACTGCTAGCCCTAGACTAACTGCTGACTGCTTTGGCCCTTATGGCTGGTTCAGACTGAGTTGTCAGAAGGAAGGTGTTGAGATGCTTGCAATGTCTTGCAGATGTGTGCACACTGTGTCTTGTCAGTGGGCACATACAGCCTGTACACAAGCACTGAACCAGCTAAAATGCCTCTTAGCTACAGAGCTACTACAGGAGCTGCAAAGAAACTACATCAGCATATTTAGATCCTGCAGGTACTTTCTGACTTCTGCTAGAGTGGACTGTATAGAAGCATGGAATAGTTGGATTTGGAAGGCCCAGTAAACATCATTTAGTTCCAACCCCCCTGCCATGGGCAGGGACACACCTCACACTAGACCAGATTGTTCAAACACTCGTCCAACCTGAACACTCCCAGGGAGGGGGCAACCTGTGCCAGTGCCTCACCCCTCTTGTACTGAAGACTTTCTTCCTAATATTTAATCTAAATCTCCTCTCTCGGAGTTTAAAGGCATTCCCCCTTGTGCTATCACTACATGCCCTTGTAAACAGTCCTTCTCCAGATTTCTTGTAGGTCCCCTTTCCCTACTGAAAGGCTTTTCTAAGGTCTCCCAGAGCCTTCTCTTCTCCAGGCTGAACAAGCCCAACTCTCTTAGCCTGCCTCCATAGCAGGGGCGCTCCTCTGACTATCTTTGAGGTCCTCCTCTGAACTTGTACGATACATGTCTTAATCTTATGAAGTACATGTTCTTCAGGGTGTCATTACCTCATGACAAAGGCCACATATGACATTAATACTATGATGACGATTGCAGTAACAGATTGCTTGAACTGCCTTGTCTCTGTCTCTTTGTTATTCTTTGCTGTCAGTTGGAGACTTACCATATGTACAAAATCCTATATGAACAGATAGCTAAATATATTGTTAGTGGGTATTGCTTTCTGCAGGTTACATGCGTTCCTGCTGGAGTTCTGTACATGAATGCTTTGGTACAGTGAGACTCTGTGTCATGATTTGATCTAAGTAGGAGGTTTCTATTGTTACTTCTGAATTTTTAGCATGCATGCTCTTAGGTAAGATCAGAATAGGTATCATTAATCAGTATCTATTCTCTTGTTTTCAGTGTGTTTCTGAATTAGCCTGGCTCTGTTTTACTTGTGCAGTGGATCCATAATATTAATTTAAACAATTATTTTCTTATTAATTCTGATATCCATTTTTCTTCCAGACTATTTCTACTTTTATTGAAGAAGTCATTCTTGTGGAATGAGTAATAAAATGCAAACCCACATCATCTGTGTTAATGACTGTTATCTGTCATCAGTTTGCTTTTCCAGGTTCTGGTTGCCATCACACACAGAACTAAAGCTGGGCAAGAATATTTTGGTGTTATTCCTTCTCTGAACCTCCTGTGGTTTGCACATAATATTTAGGCCTTTTAGCTTTAGGAAAAAAATCAAAGAAAACAAAATTATGGGGTTTGTGGTCCTTCATCTCCATGTGATTGCCAGAGAGCAGTGAGAGATGGCTGCTCCTTGAGGGACAGGGAATGGGATCCCAGCGCAATAACCTCCTGGCAGAAGAGACTCTGGCAGCCAGGCTCCTTGCACCCTAACCAGGAGTGAGGCAGCCCTAGGCATGGGCATGTGCCATGGGATGGGATGGGCACAGCTGGAAACTGGCCCTGCTGTGGTGTTGCTGGGCAGGGACTGATGGCTCTGGAGGGCTGAAATATGGCCGAGGGTCGGGCAAGATGGGGGTGGCCCCAGGGCCTGGACAGGGGTAGTGAGGCTTGATGGTGCCCTCAGGGCATGACAGTGATGTCTGAATCCTCTTATTACTGCAGTACATATTAAGGTTAGAAAGAGCTGCTTATAGGAAAAAGTAATCAAAAAAGCAAGTGGTCCCTAGTCAAGAGTAGTTCAATAACATCTAGTGTTTTCATACTTAATTATTGTACTCTCCTGCCTCATTGCTCCATTTGTATTTTTCTATATGCTTAAAATAGTATGTTATATGCTCAGTTGTTTTTACCATGTGTGTACCTCCTTACTCACAAGAGCATAGTCTTGGTTCCATCACCACCCTTGTCCTTAGTGGTTTTAATTGACCACAGACCTGCCTTGCTCATTAAAGCTTTGAGCAAGGCAGTGGAAATCACTGCATTCAGGGAGTGGAGCTGAATATGGCTTGTGGAAATCTGAGCCCTACTGGTTCCACCCTCAGGAGACGTATTTCCTGTTAACATTTCCTGGTAACTCTCCTAGTATGATTATTTCAGATCTGTGTCACTGCAGCACTCAGCTGTTGCCAGTGTTCCTCACACATATGGGAACTCTGAGGAGTTTCAGGCCTCAGTATTCAAAATGGGTTAATATGTACAGTAAGCAGTTTGACAACTGAAATGGTAATCTTTCATTTGGTATTTTATGTATGAATCAAATCAACTTTCCCACCTTTTATTTCCTCCATTTTTGACCATTATTTCAAGAGAAGTGAGATTGAGAGTTATCCCAGACCTGTTCATTATCTTCCTTGTCTTCCAGGAAACATAATCCTTGGGCTCTTCCATGTGCTGGACTATGTCTTATCTCCATCAGAAATAGAATTACATTATTATAAGAATATTTGTGATGTGTACGTTGTAGATAAAGTTGAATGAAGCAACTTCTCTTAACTGTGTCTTACCCTATTAATGTCAGCTTATCCAAAATTTGGCCTGTATTGTTTAAGTAGTTCCAATGGTTTGGTTTGCCTTATGGAAAAAGTGTGAAACAAAGCTTTTCTATTCCTCTGGCTCCAGCTGTAAATATATCTGTATTTTTTCTTCACTATTAACCTTCAGTGTTAGGACAGAATTCCATGCTCTGTTATCTTCTAAATTCCAAGCAATTCTGTTATCAACGAATTTCCTTCTCTAAATGGTTAGTAGTTTTCTTAATATCTCACCTAATGTCCTGACAATTGATAGATAATGTCTGGCCATGAATATTTCAGCCTTACAGTCTGAAAATTGGATCAGGTAGCAGCAGAGAGAACATTGTTCCCTAAAGCAAAATGAATTACAGCATTTCATGTCTGATTTCAAAGGTATGATGGGGCTTTTCATTGCATCTTACTGTTAATAACATAGGATGTTTGCACACATAATATTTTTGTAAGTTTGGAGGTAGCAGAAATTGTAAGATGGGTGATAGCCTTTACTCCTACATAAAATTTGAGAGATTCACTTGCAGTCTTATCTATTTAAGGACCTCTGCTAGCTGTTTTGGAGAGCAGCTTTGCTGCCTGTCTCTACCATGAAGATATCTGTCTTCTTTAATTGCAAGTTGTGATGTAATCTATTTATTATCTGTGATACTGTGCACAGAAAAAGTGTGCTGAACAGGTGTGGTAATGAATTATTAATTAATTGCCCTGTGACCATTTAACTGTTCCCTAGGTACTACAGGCAGTACTTCCCATCACCATCCCTTTAATCTGCTTGGTTCTTTCTTCAGCCTTCTAATTTCCTACAGTCACTCATTCTGTGTGGACAGAAAATGCATTGTTAATTCTTTGGGGGCTGAAGCGAGTAATAGTAAGGAGAAGACCAATTACAACTTTTTCTGGATGGGAAAGGGTGACCAAGGGAGAAAAACAGGATAAGAGAAGGGGTTCTTGGTCTGATTATTTCTGAACGTTTGCTGTGAAAAGGGACTTGGTTTAAAAAGCAAGTCAAGGGCTCATATAGCATTTTGTTGCTTAGTTAATTAGAATTGTTCTTCATTGATCTACTTATCTACCAACATTTTCCTGCTTATTTGCCTGTCTTTGAGCAGGTTTTGTTTGGGTTTTTTGCAGGTCAGAATTAGCTTCCTGCTGTGATGCAGTTCACAATTTTATTGCTTCTCAAAACAACAGCCCTCTGGGAAGTAACATGAGTTATGAAGTGGACAGTAAAAAGACCATCCTCATTACAGAGGACATTTTTAAGATGCTGCCTGTGGTAAGAACTGTATTTATAAGATATAAAGAACCTGTTATAAGGTATAAGAATAAGGTATAAAAGCCTGTTATTATAATTGCAGTATCATATATCTTTTGGGTTAGTAAATGAACTGCTTTCTTTGATTCCTTTGGAAGAGGCCATTTACCCCCTGTATACACTTATTCATTCACCTCATAAGACCTATTTTTTAACTGCCTTCTGCAGTGATGGAGGCATAGACAGGGTACCACAGATCACATTGTAGGCAGAGTTGCTGAAGAACACAAGTTGCATCCTGATTTGGCAGCCAGCTGAATTCAGGAGTGAATACTTTGAGCATGTTTGCATGCTTTTCTCATTCCCATTTTCAAAGGGATTTCAGTATGGAACAACATTTCATATTCCTCATATTCCCATGGCATTTCTGGTGCTGGCTTGGGCATATAAGTTAGGAAAGCTATTTTGGTGGTAAACCTGATATAGAACAGAACAGAATAGAACTATTTCAGTTGAAAGGAACCTACAATGATCATCTAGTTCAACTGTCTGACCAATTCAGGTCTGACCCAAGTTAAAGCAGGTTGTTAAGGGATTGTACAAATAGGTCTCAAACACTGACAGGTATGGAGCATTGATCACCTCTCTAGGGAGCCTGTTCCAGTGTTTGACTACCCTCTTGGTAAAGAAATGCTTCCTAATTTCCTAATTCCTAAACCTCCCTGGTGTAGCTTTGAACCATTCCCATGTGTCCTATCACTGGATACCAGAGAGAAGAACTCAGCACCTCCCTTTCCACATCCCCTCCTCAGGAAGCTGTGGAGGGCAAAGAGGTTGCCCCCAGCCTCCTTTTCTCCAGACTAGACAATCCCAAAGTTCTCGGCTGCTCCTCACAGGACATTGCTTCCAGCCCTTTCACCAACTTTGTTGCCCACTGGGGTGGAGCCTTTACAGCCAGAAACACCAGTTGAGCAAAGGAATGCAATTTTGTAGATCGGGACTTACAGTCCCTTACAGACATACAAGCTCTGAAAGCAAGACAAAGGTGGGCACAGATAGGTACTTAATATCTCAAAAGTAAGAGCACATGGGATCCCTCTTACCCATTGTGAATTTGTGAGATGCCAGCTACCATGAGTCTAGTCCTTTCTAATGCCACTGTGAATCACTAAAAACTTCATTGCAATAGAGGTTACTGTGGCTCCAAGTTTAAACTGAGTGGAGGAAAAAAGCGATATGTTTTATCTGAACGTATACTTGCTAAGTTAATCAGAGTTGTTTGGCCTTTGTGTTCTCCTACTGCCTTTTCAGAATTGAGCAAAACATTTGAACATGTCTGCCACTTTCCCCACACTTCTTGCCTTGTTCGTAACAGTGTCACTTCCTGATTCTCTTTCAGTAAGCTGCTGAGAGAAGGAGGAAGGATAATGCTTTCTGTAAGCAAATTTTGACTCAGTTTTACAAGTGAGTTCAGTTTCTGCGGTGATAGTAGCTCATCTGTTATCCTCTATGTTAAATGTCAGTGCTTCCACAGCAGGAGAGGCTGAACAAGATGTATGAGATGTTTCTGAGGCTGGGATAACAGCCAGCTATATTAACATCAAATGAAATAGCCAACGATTTACATTCATTTGCTAGGTTGTGATCTGTGCTGGTTCACAAGTGGCTTCACTTAGCCCCCATTCAGCTTCCCCCCTGCAAAACAGCAACCTCCAACAAGGAGGGGAGTAGAGGGTGAGCAGCCACAAACAGTAACTTCTTCAGTTAGCTATCACATTTGCCATGACTTTAACCAGGGCACATGACTATTCTTACCAGCATCTTCAGGTTCCCCTTAGCTGATTATTTTGTAGCAAGTGTAATTGTGTGATGATAAAGTAACGCACATTTACAAAGTTACCTTCTGTTAGCTGATAAAGTCAATGACTGTGACAACCCCCAGTCTGTTACAATACAAAGGAAAATGGCTAAATTCAACCTGTCTTCAGTACAAATTAGGTCCTTTGCTTATAAAACATTCAGTCTGCTAACTGGGTAACTTTTGTGTGAAGTGTCTTTAAAGATGTTAATCTAGTTTTAACAATCCCGTGTTATTCCTTCAAAGTTCTGACGACAGAAGTAGCAGTTCTCAGTCTGTTGGTGCCTATTTTTGGCCCTTGATTGTCCAGGCATGGCAACCCTGTGTGCTAAATGGTGAATGCTTTCACTGGGATTTACCAGATTAAACCTACAAGGATGAATGACTAAAGGTGCAAAGAAGCAATCACAATGATTTATAAGGTATTGGCTGTGTCTTTTTATTTGTTGCAGTCCTCTCCTCTTTCGGTCTATCCCTTCAAGACCTGTGCTGTGGTTGGAAACGGGGGCATTCTGAAAAATTCCAGCTGTGGAGCTGAAATAGATCGTTCTGACTTTGTGTTTAGGTAAGAGCTGCTCTTTCTTACTGAAGTGTGTCTTGTGTTTCTGAAAACTTGGTAGGATTGGAAGCATGCCAGTGCCAGTTTGTAGCAAGATCTTGCCCATTCTTTATTGCTGTCTCTCTAAGGATACTCCTTATGCTTTGTAGATTTCAGACCACTGCTTCTTAAGTAAAGAGAGGACTGTAGGGATACATGTATGATCTATGATTGCAGAGATATATTTTTTTAATCAAGGTAAGAGAATAAAGAAAACCCTGAAACTGAAATAAGACTGGCATTAAATGTCACATGTTTACCTTTGGTTTAACAAAGCGTTTATAAACCCTTTGTTAAACAGCACCCTTATGTTGGCTCACTAATACAGTTCTTTAACTGCCCCAATATTTGCCTCACCTTCTGTTAGCCATCTAAAAATGTAGTCATCTAATTGAAGTAGATTTTTTTGACCTCCCTCTGTAGATTGTGGACAAACCCAGGCACAGCCAGACAGTAGTTTGGTGCACTCTCTTAGTATGTGACTCACACTTTGTAGTTCATGCAAAGGAACAGAGTAACAGCATGCAGGTTCTCTCAGTGATGTCCACTCACTCAGTCTGCTGGATTTTGTTTCCTTTCCTACTTTTGACTAATGTTTGGGCTTTTAAAATTAAAAAACCAAAACCAAAACAAAGCAAAATAGGAAAAAAAGAAAAACCCAGCCTTTCCAGTTATGTAACTGTCTTCATAAAAATGGGAAATGGTATAGTAAGATGCTAAACTTACTGACTGGTTTGAAAAAAATGCTTTCTTTACCTTTTATGGAAACCACTGTTTCTGCAGTTGGGCAAGTTATCCCATTGTTGTTGTAGAAGACATAATAGAAGACTTCCAGAAGAAATGCATTGTTTAGGCAAGAGGGACAATTATACCTTAGCACCTAACAGGGCATTCATAGACTGGTGCCTTCTGGGATTTTAGCTTTGCTCCTGATTTGTAAGATGATTTGTGAAAATGAGCTCCCTGTGCCCTATTTTAACCATCTGTACAGTAGATTAAATATTTTTACTGGAAGTGCTGTAAGCCTTATTTAATATTTGTAAAGTTCTTAGAGATCTCTGGGAGCTGACGTGAAAGTGTCATTGTGCAAGAGAGGAGTTTGCAAATATTAACTGTACAGCATTTCTGGTATGCATTTGTTAAAGTAAATGTTTCTCAATTTCAGGTGTAACCTCCCTCCAACCATGGGAAGCATTAGCAAAGATGTTGGCAATAAAACAAACCTTGTGACTGTTAATCCGAGTATCATAGCTCAGAAGTAAGTGCTACTGCAAATCTGTTTTGGTGCAATATTGTATAATTGTTTGACATGATTTAGATTTTGTTGGAAATCCGTTGGGATACCAGCACAGAGAGCAGTGCACACAGATTACTTCATTAAGCTTTAGTTTCCATGTAAAATCTGTACCAATGTAAATGGAAATATGTTAAACCTGGCCTTTTATGGAGCAGGAAGGAGTCAGCAATACCCACGTTAGCAAGTGGCTTGCTTAGTACCAGTCCCCAATTTATGACAGAGTAAAACTGATGATTGCAAGACCAAGCTTCTTTCCCCCCTGTGACCCTTGTGACCCCCAGCATAAGAAAGGAATTGTAATCATAAATCAGGAAAGCTTGGAAATGTGTGTCTGACTCTGTCAGTAGGACTGTAAACCCATGTTAGAAGCTGTTCTGATGAAGGCTGTTTCCTGAATGGAGGCCCAATTTCTGTAATCCGTTTTCTCAATCCGTGTAAAAGCTGCTCACACACTTTTTTTTTTCTCAGCAAAGTTCTTTTTTTGCACCTTCTTGACGAAAAGAAAATCTGGTAAGGCCAGGCTGAGTAATTTGACATCTTCAGCAGGCTGGAACTGCGGCTTATCTATGAAAAGGACTGATGTGGCATGTTATTTACTGCTTACTGATCATACTGTATCTTATTGTCTGTCATTGCTATAGTTGTCAAATACACAACATCAGAGCTTTTTATTTTTTCCTTTAAAGGAAGAAGGGAAATTATAGTGAGCATACAAATGGCTAACAAGTATTTGTTATTGATTCAAAGATAGAAAGTGATTTTTGCAGTCAGTACTAACTACCTTAATGCTTACCCAGGCCTTTTTGACTTAAATGAAAATGAGTTATTGCTTCCCCAAAACCAGATCTAGCTTATTGATGTTAGAAGGGCTGCACAACCATATCAGGCAGGAGAACTTTGTCCAGTGACTCAGCATCGGTGGTGGCTACTGACCTGCTGCATGATTTGTCTGGGCTTGATCAATGTGTTCTGCCACAGCTGCCCTCATTTTTAAACCCAGTGTAGTCACATCAGGGTTCATAGCAATTACAATGAAGGAAACAGGAGCTAAATCTGCATGAGGGTGAAATGAGATTGAGAGGACTTTAAATCTAGAATCTAAAAAAACAAAAATAATTGACTACTCAGAGAACACTGTAAATGCCTTTGAAAGAGCAGAGGAAGGAACTTGGCACCATTTAGCAGAACTAAGTTTTTTTTTCTTGTCTCAGAAGACCTATTCTGACTTTATTCACTCTAATTTCGAATTCTGTGTTTGAGTACTGGGTTAGTCTGCTGTTATTGTTAAGGTTAATCAGCTTTTGAACTGTGCCTGTCAGGGTGTACAATGTAGGTGAACTCTCTTGGGAGAGAGAAGCACAGTTCTTATGTGTTCAAATGGAGCTGGGCTACACTGCACCTCACAGGGGCAGAGCTGAAAAAGAAAACAAGACGAAGTTGAGGTTTTCAGGTTTCTAGCTATGGAAGAACAGATCTGAGTTGTGTCCTGAAGGCTCTTTATGTACTTTACACTGAGTCAAAATAGAGAAGATTCTTGTAGTAAAGGCCAGAAGTTCACCCTTCAGCCACTCTTCCTAGACACATGCTCGGGCATTTCTTGCTTGCTTTGGCTGTGTGGCTGCTGCATGCACAGGGGGCTGAGGTCAACAGGAGGGCCTGAGTTGTCTTCATTTTACTTCAGAATCTGATGGTAATGTGTTGTGGCTTCAGCCCAGCCAGTAATTCAGAACCATGTAGCCGCTCGCTCACTCACTCTCGCCCTTTCCTCCCACCCCCTCCAGCTCCCGGAGGGACAGGAAGGAGAATCAAAAAGAATGTAGCTCCCATGGGTTGAGATAAGAACAGCCCAGTAACTAAAGTATAACACAAACCACTGCTGCTGCTACCAATAACAATAATGGTAAGGGAAATAACAAGGGAAGAGAATACAACTGCTCACCACCGGACAACCGATACCCAGTCTGATCTGAGCAGTAATCTCACCCTTCTTGGTAACTGCCCCCAGTTTTTATACTGGGCATGATGTGGTGTGCTATGTAATACCTCTTTAGCTAGTTTGGGTCAGGTGCCCTGTCTCTACTTCCTCCTAGCTTCCCCTCCTCCCTGGCAGAGCATGAGACTCAGAAAGTCCTCAGTCAGAATAAACATTACTGAGCACCAACAGTTGTGAGAACTAAAGTCTCCTTGCTGTTTGTTGGGAACTGAAGCATCTGAGAATAAATCCTCTTCATTTGTGAAGTTAGATCTCTAACTCCATCTGTTCCCTTTGTAGTCTAAGGGGATAAATAGATATGCTTATATTTTCAGCTATTTTAAAAGTATATCAAAAGCAGTTAAGACTCTGTGAAACTTGAGCACACACTACTCTTTAACGCTCCAAGACTGCTCATATGCATACTTACATCCATTTCCAAACGGGGCTGACACCCAGGTTTTGAAGAGAGGTTATTATATACCTTTTGACGTAAGAAACACATTTCATAAGCACATGCAGTACATATCATACTGTGTATAGTATAAAAATCCATAGTGCATGTATTTTTAAATGCAGGAAATAAAAATGCCTTTTTTTTTTTCTTTTCCGTTCTTCCTTAAGTTTCTTAAATTGATTGATTCTGTAAACAGGTCCTGGTCTTACTAGCTGTGAATTTGATCTGCTTCACTAACTCCTGTGTTGCCAATTCAATCCTATGGGATGTGTTCTTATTACGAAATAAAGACTGATTTTCATAATTGCACATATGCCAACATACAACAGATTGCTATAAATTGACTGTATAGACAAGCTGAACTGGTGCAGCAGAGTTCATAACTTACATATGCAACTATTCCAACATTAGATTCAGTCTTTTCCTGAAATGTTGTACTTTGCAGATACAACAAGCTAAATGAAAAGAAGGCTGAATTTCTGGAGAACATTGCGGTCTATGGAGATGCTTTGCTTTTATTGCCAGCGTTTTCCTTCAGAAGCAACACAGCCACTTCTTTTAAAGTGTATCACACTCTGCAAGAGTTCAAAGCAACCCAAAGGGCAATATTTTTTCACCCCAGTTACCTGAAAAGCCTCGCCCAGTTCTGGAGAACTAAGGGTGTGAAAGCCTACCGGTTGTCATCTGGTTTTATGATCACTAGTGCTGCTCTTGAGCTCTGTGAGAATGTGAAGCTCTATGGTTTCTGGCCTTTCTCAAAATCCATGGAGAAGATGCCAATCAGCCACCACTATTATGACAACCAGCTGCCTAAACCAGGTTTCCATGCAATGCCCAAAGAGTACAACCAGATTCTTCAGCTTCATGGCAAAGGCATTTTGAAGTTGCAGTTTGGTAAATGTGAATCAGACTAAAAAGGTAGGTCACATTCTTACCACATAAAATGTATTTAAGTAATGTGTCAAGGGAAAACTTGTTTTGTGAACTGTGGGTCTGTTCTTCCTTAGGAAGACATTTCTACCTTACACTCAATGAAAGTTGTGTTCATAAGTAAGTGGAAAGTCTAGAGTTTCCTGAATAAACATACTACAGAGTAATGTTTTCTAATTGTAAACGTTAGGTAGGGAGCATGGTAAATATACATTGCCACTGTATTTCACAGTCATTTGATACTGTTTCCTTATCTCAGATAAGTGTCTCTAGCAACCTGTGTCTGGTTTGGGATCAGTTCCCATGAACCAGCTTCCTTTGTGAATTGCTCTATTCAAAGGCAATCACATACCATAATGTACAAGAGAAGACACCTAATCCTGGCACAGCCTTTCCAGATGTATACAGAGGCCAGAGTAAGGATTAAGATTGCACATGAAGGAGTACCAGGCATATGCACCTTTGCTCCCTCTTGTTAGGTAAAGATAAGTTTAGAGCGGTGTGCTCTCACAGCCTCGGATGCAGCACAGCTTGTGGACAGCAGTGAGGAAGCTGCCGTACACTACAGCAGATCTTGCTGAGGATTTTACCTTGAGGTAGCTCAGAATCTGGAAGTTAGAAATATAGGAAGAAATGTCATTCCCTTTCTTCTGTTCTTTCTAACTGTCCCATCCCCCTTGCATCTCTGTGTATTGCCTTAGAGAAGGGCAGCCCATAGTCTGGACTCTGGCCTTAAACCAGTTTACTGTGTACAGATTATAGATTACTTTGAAAATATTTGTCTGCATGTTTTCAATCTTGATTTGCCCAGTTCACAAAATAAGATCAATTTGTATAAATACTTCCATCTTTTAAGCTAACTCAAATTTCAGCTCACGATACTGTTGTCAGATGTGCCTTTTACAGACCTGTATTTTTCCAGGGGATTCAAATTAGTGTAACAGTAGGTGTAATGTGTGGTAGAACTAGCATTGTACACAATATGCTTTAACTGGACTGATGTAATCTCACAACTCTATTACTCAAATAAATAAAAATAGCATCAACTTGTTCAAGGTAGAAATTTAAAGTTCAAAAGCTTTTCTTCTGGCTATGTGAAATTTGTTTGAAAATCTCCTTTGATGGTATTTACAAAACGTGTTACCAAAGATACATTCGCACTTGGTTCATCGTCAGAGACTGCTAAGTTTTAAATTAGCAGATTGCTAGTACCAAGGAGGCACAATTTTATTCAGTTTCAGTTTGTTGTGGTTTAAACTCTGTCAGCCATGCAGTCTCGCTCGCTCACTCCCCCCCTTCTTCCCTCCTCCCCGCTCCCAGAGGGATGGAGAGGAGAATCAAAAGAATGTAACTCCCACAGGTTGAGATATGAACAGTCCAGTAACTAAGGTATAACACAAACCACTACTGCTGCCACCAGTAATAGTAATGATAAAGGGAAATAACAAGGGAAGAGAATATGATACCACTCACTGACCAAGCCCAACTGAGCAGTGAGTGCCCTTCTGGGTAACTGCCCCCAGTTCTACATCCTGGGTATGACATGGTGTGGTATGGAATACCTCTTTAGCTAGTTTGGGTCAGGTGTCCTATCTCTGCTTCCTCCTGGCTTCCCCTCCTGCCTGCAGAGCATGAGACTCACAAAGTCCTTGGTCAGAGTAAACATTTGAGCAGTAACTAAAAACATCGGTGTTATCAGTGCTGTTCCCAGGCTGAAAGTCAAAACCACAGCACTGCACCAGCCACCAAGAAGGAGAAAAATAACAGCAACTGATGAACCCAGGACACAGTTTTATTTGAAGAATAAACTACTTCCGTACATTATTAGAATGATACCAAACATGTAAGAAGGGACCTTAGAAGCAATCTAGTGAATCTGCTGTCCTAGTCCATGACAGGAGTTTACCTAGGAGGAGGGGTATGTGTATGCCGTTTCACATGGCTAAGGTATGCTTTTTTACTTGTGAAGAGTTGCAGCATACTGGAAAGGTTAAGAAATACATAATGCATTTTTTCCTAGTAGCTAAGCTGTTTATACCCTCCAGTTTCCATTGTATTTATTCTCCCTGTAATATAAATGGCTGGTGACATACCATGCAATTTTAATTGTAGTAACTACACCAGCTAAGAAAATGAAAGGCAGCTCCTTAGGAATATTTAATTTAGGGAGAAGCAGATAGAAGCCACAAAAATATTTAAGCATCTGTATGGGTTAATTAAACATTGTCCATGCTTGACAGACTGAAAATCACTTCTGTTGCCAAATTTGCAAAAGAAAAAAAACACCAGAAGGGTAAGATGTGCTGCCCTAATTTACATTTATACGAAGAAAAGTGAGTCCTTTCAAACTAAAGGAATTAAATGCTTTCAGTATGAGCTACCATTCTGCTATTATCAGCTATTAGAGATAATTGAAATTCTATAATGAGTATATTTTACTGAAGATGACCGTTTCTAAAAATTGAACAATCTCCTTGCTCTTTTCAGTTTCCCTTTTATGTTCTTCTCTCTGCTTTGTGCTCTTCCCTGTTAGTGGGTAGCTGAAGAAGATTCCTTACACCACTGGGTGCCCACAGAAGTCTCAGGCAGACCCATTAGTGGAACATGAAAGTTTGGTGCTATAAATAAAAAGTGAAGGAAGCTGCTTTGCTGCATGCACCTATATTGTAAGTGGGTAGCAGGTTCTGGAGCATCACGGGGAGAGCGTAACTGCATCCCAGTGAATCGTTTTGGTAGTATTGCTCCTAAGCACCATCTTTGCCATCGTAAAGGTGAACTTTTGGAGTTCATGAGAGTCCAGTAGAGATGGTGCTGAACAACATGAGAACTCCATTTGTGTTCATATCAGCTCCTGCCCCTCTACAGTTACGCTCAACAGACATGTCCGTATCTCCTCCTCTAAAGTAAATGCATATCTATCACAGATGGTAAAATGGAAAGTGAGACATCAGCAGAATCTTAAAATGTAATTAAAATAATGATCTTTATTATTTTTTATTACATTACCAAATCAGTTTTGCTATGGCCCTGCAGCTGAAGGAAGTCTTGTTTGAGCATTGGTTTAACCTGATAAGCCTGAAGGGCATGTCATTACCTTCAAATAAACATACGTTCAAGGAGGGGAAATGGGGCCTGATTCATATTTAAAAATAGACAGAAAAATCTGATTACACAAATTGTCAGATGATAAATTAATCCAACTGGCAAAAATGTGATTGCCCAGAAGCCTGGTTAAAATGCAGGTTTTGTCTGACCAAGAATGCATCAAGTTTTCTGTTTGCTACAAAGAGACAGCAGGGAAGATGAGTATGTGTTGCTTTGACATCCAGCACAGTAACATTAAGCAGCTGCTCAAAGGAGTCAGTCAACAGAGAAAAAAAAAACAAACGTGGAAAGGAAGAATGAAACTGAGTTTCAGTGAGCGGAGGGAGAATAGGTTTGATAGTCCGAGCTGAAGGACTGAAGGAGGAGAGGCTGAGCAGAGGTGTGCTGGTGGTTAAGGAGTGAGAACTGCTGAACCTTCAACCGAGTGTGAGTGTATCTTACCTGGAAAGTAAAAATTGGGTCTGGGCTTTTTAATTCCAACCAGATGATTAAAAGACATCTATTTCTGACAGAGCAGCAGTGAAGCCCTCCACTCAAGGTGGAGATAGCATGGCAGCATCCTGTAAATCAGGACGCTTCCTGCTTGATTCCTCAGGAATTAACATCAAAGAGAATCATTTTGTTCCAAACTCTATCAGCATGTTATCTTTTTTAATCTTGAAATTTGCTGCAATCCAAATAAGTAATAAATACTGTTAGAAATAACTCGTTTATAAATATAATTGTTATAAATAACCCATCTATATAACAGTAGGATACCAACATGAGCTTAAGTTCTGCTGAAATTCTTTCATGCTTCTGGTGCCTCAGTGTAGCTAGAGAAATATGAACTGCCCCACAGTTAATTTTTAATTACCTTGAGAAAAAGGATACCACATTTTAAAAATAAGGACACCTCTGGGTTCCTGTCAAGCAGACAAATTTCAGCCTGTCCTTGACTTGGGCAAATATTATCCAGCAGGAAATTATTAGATGTATACAACACTGAATGAAAGGTCTTCTGCTTTAATGCCTGTGCAGTGTAGCTTTTAAGCATGTCCTTTTGCCACGAATTTTAAGTGTGAAGAGTAACCTCAGTAATGCAACGAGTTGCGTGTGGTTTAGTTACAATCCACCAGAATAGAAAAATATAGATTAAAGCAAATTTTAATTTCTATTTATTTTTTAATCAAATAAATAAGTCTTTAGAGATCTAGAAGCATTTGGTTTTGGTTTGGTTTTCCACAGCAGAACTTGCATATTGAAGGAATGGAATAATTTCAATCACTATTTCAAAATAAGATTAGGGTAATGAATTTAGAACATATTCATAGATTAGCAGTGGATGTGTCCCATGAAGATACCGGTTAGACCCATCCTTGGTTATCTTAGGAAGTCTGAAGGGGTAAGTGTGCACAGGGGGTATTCTAATGAAGGAGTCCTCCTTTAGAAAGAGCAGACACTAAAGCTAAATCGGGCACTAGCAGTCCATCTTAGCCAGGAGAATTCTGTGAGTCTGTGGTGCTGTATAATGTCACAGACTCCCAGTCTGAAATAAGGATGAACAAGCAGATGTAGAAGATGAAAGGCACACAGAGAAGGCTAAGCTCTTAGCTTATTTTGAATATAATAAGCTATTTTGCTGGTGTACAAGAAATGTCAATAACATATTTTACTGTTTTAATTCCAGGGTGATGATCCTAAGGAGACAATTTGTGTGTATCTCAGCAGTTTAGTGTTGGATTTGAGCTGATGTGGTTTTGTGAGCATTAAGCTGCATTATTACAATAGAGAAACATTTTACACTTGGGGAGAAAAGAGAGTGATTTTTTTCACACAGTGACTGCTACGTTTCTGAATTTCAAGTAATCATTTTTTTAAATACAAAATAAAATTTCTTTGGGAAATTCTGAAACTCCTGCCTATTGGTTTAGTTGCATCAAAAGCACAATCTCAGGATGGTGGCAATATGTGACCTTCAATGTGTTCTGCTTCTTAAAGGATCATTAAAATATGTTGACATGAGATCTCTGGTTTTGTTAGTATCATGTAATACAGGCAATAGTCTGTATGGTAGCTGCATGAGTTGGCAGTGGAAATTTTCAGTTATGAACTTGATCCTATAAACACTAACATTTGTCCACATGAGAAAGGTGATGGGAAGAGCTACGGTGGAGTAATTAATTCTGAGCCATGTCATTCTTAGTTTGTTCCAGGGTGCGCAGATTCAAAAATCACCCAGGTTGGAGATGGTCAAGTTGTTTATGGGTTTTCATTTTGTGGGAAATAGATAATGCTGTGGCTTTAAGGGGATCAGTCATACGAGTGATGTTAATTTTGTGAGCAAGCGCTTGAAGGACCAGAGCTGTATAATTGCTTTTAAATCCATCTTCTTGCTTGTGTTTCTATCTAAGGTCCAGTTCAGCTGCAAATGAGAACAGTGAACTAGGTTCCATGCTGCAATCCCTGGAGTCTTGGTAGGACATGACTTTGCACACATTCCTGCAATCCCAGCTCTGTATCTTGGCTGATGTATGAGATGGACCATTCATTAGAAAAATGATAGGTACCAAACCCATCATTTCTTCTATTGCTTTTTCACCAGCCATAGCTCGGACCAATATGTGACTACAGATAAGGAAACTGCATTAAGCATTATTAGAAGAATGTTGCTTTTACAGTTGACCCCAAGTTATTCTATACCAGAACATACGAGAACAGACCCTATCGTCCCTCAATTTAAAACCCATGCAGTTCTTGTGCTTTAAGTTTCCAGATGGCCCAAGAATACCCAGGGAGCAACATCCTGTGACTAGAGAAAGTGAAATATCAGCCCAGTGGAAAGAATCACATTAACATTTACAGGAGCTACCATGAGCAGTTGTTGCCCTAGCTGTGGCTGCTTGTATGTTATTGCTGATATGTTTTCCTGCAGAAAAAAAACCCAACCAAACAAAAAATTGTGATAACAGCTACTGTAACCTCAGTTTCAGTAGCTTTTCTGAGAGTCCTTTGAAAGATCAGCTCAAATATAGTGTCCTGATTCTTCTTTTTACAGATATTGTCAGATATTTTGTTTACTAAAACTCATTTTGCCACTGTAGCATTAATTCCCCAATCAACTGTTTTAAAGAGCATTGAATATTCCACTCATTGAGGATTATATCTGCAAAACAAAAATCCTACTTAAATGAATCAAACCTTATAAAATAAGGTTAAAAAAATGTTTTAAACTGGTACTTCATAAGAGCATTTCTGTGTTGCAGTATTTGCAAGCCTAACTTGCAGCAGTTTTATAATAACATAAATAGTCCTGAAAGTTTTAGAATCCATCAGTATGGGTGCAGGTCTCTTATTTGAGACACAGTCAGCATCATGATCCATTTCCAAGGTAATGATATCAGAATCCAATACTACTCCTCCCCAAGGAGAAGTGTTCGTAATTCCTGGCTGTAAACACCAGCAATAAAGCAAATTTTTTAAAATAAGGTTTTTAAAAAGTAGATGGTGCTTTGGGGCATTGAATGACACTGCTAATACATGAGTGGACCTCTGAATATCAGTAGGGCTCTTAACGGAAACAAAGTCAATGAGTGCATCTGTGTTACCAGCTGGTGACTGCAAGAGGCAAGCACAAGGGTTTGATTTACTGTGATCTGTTATGCTTCCATCACCACACATCCACATTTTATCTTCACCAGCAGTGAAATTTGTGCCAGTTTCTGGTCATGGGCATCTGCTTCTCATGTGCAGAGAGCTGGCTGCTGCAAGACCCTGCATCCACGTTGTGAGTGATTAGGGGTGATTGCCTACTGCAAGTCCTAGTTGTTAGATCAAAAATAAATGTGCTCCCAGAAGAGCTCCTCCTATACCACAGGATACCTATCACTCACATAGGCTATCCCAGAGTGTTGGTAGCTGGAAGCTGTGCAATGTGGCATAGTTGTTCTTTGGGTGATGCAAACAATTTGAGAAGAACCACATCCTATTTTATCCAGAGAGACAAAGGTGCACCTCTGTCTAGGCAAGGACTGTGACTTGTTCCAGTCTATCACAGTGCAATGAGATGGCTGTGTAAAAGCTACATGGTTTGATTTGGATATTTCATGCATCTTTTAGAGACTGAGGGTACTTCATTGTATCCAGAACAATAGTAAGTGCTTTGTGTGCACATAGAGATGATGCAAAGGATATCGTTCATTGCTCAGATTAAATTCAGTGAGCTACTCAGTGACTGAAGTGGCAGAACCTGTTTGTGTGTAAACAGATGTAGAGAGGAGAAAATGAAATGTATTTGCAATGGAGAAGCAACTTCTTTCGGTAGCATTTGTTAGTTAGTTTTGAGTGTATTCCATTATCTCGGTGAATAAACATATACAGCATACCATGACACATCATGAAGTTGTTGTCTGTCTGGACCATTTCTGTGCAGCCATGTTATTTATAACATATATGTACTAGTTATTGGAAAGGTTATTGGAGTACATTTTAAAAAAGGTTTAGCTAAAGGAAAAAACTATTCCAATTTCCTTAACAGAAAGAGGTCTTAATCGAAGGAGTGTGATGTAGCACTCACAAATGAGAGCGAATGGAAAACTCTGCAGCGTGGACAGACACTATGACTTTTTAGCGCTATTTAAACTTGTCATTGACCTGAAGACCTGAATCTCTGTGCTCTCAGAGCTCTCAGTGATTTGTGTGGTGCACAGGGCTAACAAGAAATACGTGGAGGAATTGTTAGCATTTCCTACCCTTTCCCACAAATACTTCTAACTCCTCATAAAATTAAAATATGCTCTATTAGGCTTTAAATTAGGAACCTGTTTTTTATGTAGCTTTCTCAGGCCTTGCTTCAGACCTGAAGTTCCAATTAGATGCTAGTTGCATCCACTTCACTCCACAGGAGTGCAGACCTTGTACTGGGCTTTATTACAGCTATTGCTGCTGTGTGCTTGGTGGCTAGGTCGTGTTAATTTGTGCACAGACCGGGCAACCTAATAGTGGTGTTTCTGTGTGACAGATTATAGTGAGATTGGTCAAGACTTGGTGAAGTACACTCGCTGTGGAAAAAGGTGTTTTTCCAGATAGCCAAATAAATTCTTTATTTCACATCTATGATTTCTCATTGATTTTACATCTATGCCAAGTTAATGATGAGTAAATGGATCTTGAATCCATTCCCTAGCTGGGAATGTTTATGACACTTGCAAGACTCAGCCAAGTGGAGCTTTCATGAAGGATTCATGACCAAAGGTTAGGAAGGGCCTTTCAGTTCCCTCTACTTCACATGAGGAATAATAATTTTAGGGTCTGTGG